GGAGCACTCGTGCTCGGGCCCATCCTGACTCACAGGTGCTCTTCTGGTGCGGCCGTACCATGATCGTACCATGGCCTTGCCATGCCTGTACCACGGACTTACTTCCTCCAAATGGCGCCCCACCTCTCCCTCTAAGGGTTGTTTGCTTTAGTCATTATCGGATATACGGCTGCGACAGGCAGGGAGTGCCGAAAATCCTGAAGAGGCCTCTCCACGAGACATTTTCCGTGTTTTCGGAAGGTCGGCGCAACATAGTGGGTGCACAAATGAGTGGCCACGTCTTCTTTATGCCAATGCGATGCTTTGTTTCTCTTCTTCCTTTAGAGTTACGCACACATTTGAAATAACAGATTTCGAAGTAATCATCGGAGAGATCAATTTTTCGGCATATTTGATTTTTTTTTCCCTTATAATTGAGTGCAATTTCCTTAGTTCAACAGAAGTGTCGTTTCAGGGTGGAACGAAGTATTTCCGCCGAGTCGCCATTTTTTTCGCGGAAAAAGTAGTTCAGTCCTTGACGTTTGGGCTTTTTGTGTTTTATTTAGATCTTGATCTCAAGACTCGTCCGCATTGTCGGTGACCTCCTTTTGCGAGGGAGATATTTTTTCTCAATCTTGTTTCCTCGGAGTTTGGAACGAAGTGACGCAGTAAAGGAAATCGTGTATCAAGGGGGATGAAAACGGCCTTCGCAGCCGTCATAACCGCTTGAGAATTTTTCAATTTAATTCCCAGCTGGCGTTCCATAAAACAATGTCTTTGGCCGCTGTTCTTCCCTTTATTCCTTTGTTTTTTTTTTCGTTTCGATTTCCTTCTCTCGCTTCTCGTTAATAGATCCACGGGTCGCGCGGAGTGACGCGCGACGCGGTTGATCCAACTCGTAGATTACGGCGGAGTGTTGCATCCGATAAATTTGGAGGGTGAGACCGAAAAGCGGCATCCACCCTCGCGGGCTCGGAGGCTCGCAAAATATACGTAGAATCGGGAGGAAGTCAAGTGTCGGGAAAAATTGCGGAAGAGGCGCTGCCGGAAACTCGTGGGATTTCTTGGGGTGCGGAGCAGCTGCAGCTGCGCGTGTTTTAGCGGCACCCCTGCGCCTCCTTGCGACCCCTGCTCGCCTCTGAGTTACGCCACGACACGCCCCACTAACCACCCACGATTTTTGCCCCACGTGCTAGTTTATTCATACCTAAGCGACGTGTTCTCATTTGGCCATTGACTCGTGACGGCGAAAAAGCGGCCGGAAATCGAGCAGCGCTTCTCGCGGGGTTGTGAAGCGGTAATGATTTTCCACGGGGGAGGAATATATGCGAAAAGCGGAAAATCCGAAAGACGCACAAGGGGAGGCAGTCAGGATATTTATACGAGAAGGCAGTTGAGCGAGCCATGTAATGATAACATCCCTAAATATTAACATTTCACGGGTAAGTGAGATTTCTCATAGTGCGATGGTACGTGTATCTTTACATGTTGTGAAAGATTCTTCTAGCGTCAGTGCGTTGTACTCTCAGTTAATTGTTGACACTAAAGAGATAAAAAATTACTAAAACAAGATATAAAAATAAGTGGGTTTTACATCCCGTTCGTGTATTCTATGGTTAATTCCGAAATTTTAGTCCAACGCGCGTAATGGCCACGCATTGATCTTTCGAAAACACGTTTCGATTTAATAGGGATAAGTCACTGTCGAATTACCTCTTCGACATCTCGTAATCGGTGAATCGGGGAAAAAAATCATTCCAAAAAAATGTGTAGTTTATCAAACGGGGATCAACTTTTGTAGACATCCTTTTTTCGCGTCGCGAACCATTTAAGCCGAAAACGGCGTTAACGACCTTCCCCGCGCGCCGGCAGAAAACTCATTTCCGCGTGGCCTCGAACGGCGAATATTTTATCACGTCGCGTCCGGGCTGACAATTTTTCGCCGTCAAAAACTAGACGGTGCATATAGGCAACGGGAGAGCCGATCGCGAAAATACTCGATGGGGCTAAAAGAGTCACCGTGTAACGAGACGCGTATAGCCGCGTGCGCAGCCGGCCGTAAAATCCATGGGGATTAGCGGGCGCTAATATATCCCCCGGGTAAAAACGCGGCGAGCAGCTGAGATATTCCTTCGCCTACTCCGGCGGCGGAGTATCTGCCCGACTTGTCCTTGCGGTGGAATAACTCTAGCAACCGAGGAAAGTGAGGAATTAACGAGCAATGCGAGGAAGCTTCCCTTTCGCGGCCTCGTCGCTATTAGAACGCACATGCCTGCCCTAACAAGACCTAAAATCCTTCGTCGTTAAAAAAAAAAAAAAGTTCAGGAAGTTTTATTCAGACAACACGTACTAAATTTCTAACACTAAGTTTATATATTTTATAAACATATGTTATAAATTTTGTACGCGAGTGCATTCATCAGCACGTCATCGAGCAACCAAGGTTGAGAGGAGCCAAAGAATGTCCCTCCGTTCAACAAGTTCCCCGAATTCGATATCCACGTGATTCTGTTTGTTTTGAGGGATTCGAAGGTGTCGAGGTTCGCCCACTCCCTAAATAGTCCAAATAATCGCCTGGCTTAAGTCTCGACAGGGTTGGATCAAGGAAGCCTGGCTGCTGCACTAAGACAGTCGCTTGCAAATTGAAAATCAAACGGAAGGAGCGGGTGGGAAAGAAAAGATGGAGGACGGACAAACGAGAAACCGCGGGAGAGCTTCCCGGGGTCTCTTTGTGTCGGGCAATCGATACGATTCTCCTTCGGCGAAACGGGCGCTTCGGGTGTCTTTCTCGGGCTCGGCAAAGTGTGAAATGTTTGACAGGAAGGCGGGAGAAGAGTCTGGCCACATTCCGCCCCCTCGGTCCTCCTCGCTACTGGAGAACCCGGAACGTGGAACTCGGCCGTGCGAAGTAATGTAATCGCCAATTGATCCGGCGACTCAGACCCTCCGGGAACCCCGCGGGGAACGGGCTACTTTTCGCCGGGCATTTTTACCGGGAACGCGCATCTCTGCCGAGACTTTCGCGTCAGGATAAGGTACTGACGAGGCCTGCCGAAATCGTGATGGGGCTTATTTTTCGCTCTATCGCAGTAGGCTAACCCCTTAAGGCGATTAGCGAGACCCAAAAGGGTTGGTGGCACTCCACAAGTGATATCGGCTTATTGATTTCGAGCTTTGCCATCGGCCTGGCAGCTCACGGTATCCTTGACCTTTCGAAGGCAAACAGATCAGTTATCGATCCTTGTAGGATAAGTTTCCAACACGTGTAGGTACACGAGAGGCCCTGCAACGGGGGGTCGTGTTCAAACACGGTTCGGAGAAGGCCCATCCCCGGCGTCGCGTCGGTCGCTCTGAAAAGTCTCAAGAAACGAGACAAGCTATCATCTGGTTTCTCGTTATCGGGAAATGGGTACCTACGTAAACTGCGGCCTCGGCAAATATTTTCACCACATCTTTGCCGCATTTTTCCCCTCGTATCATTTCTCATCTCAGAGCCAAGGAGCCATTCGGGTGACTCTTGAAGTCACTATAAAACGGCACTTCGTACAATTTTCTCGTTTCTAATAATCCAATTAGTAATGGGGTTACTAACATCTATGTAAACTGCGAACTAGGCGATTATTTTTATCGCATTTTTACTACATCTTTTCCAAAATATTCCTCACCTTAAATCCATAGAGGCATTGTTGAGCAACTTTCAAAGTTTTGGCAGAACTTACTTTTTAATATATCCCTGCTTTTAACTATCTTACACGTAACCGTCTTCAATTTGTATGATTTCAAGTAACGAATCAATGACTCCGAAATTCTCAATTTAAGCCACACCACGAAGAGCGCTACGGCCGATCTGGGCCACGCACGGTCGTTCATATATTTAGCCGGTTTGCGAATTTCCGAAAATTCCTCGGAAAATTCGGTTGAGCAGCCGGGACCCATCCATATTGCGTGGCATTCGTCATGCGTTTGCGCACGTGTCAAGAGTGGACTCGTACCTGAACTTTCGATCACAGATACTTGGCAGTATCGGAAAGAGAGGGACGCGAGAGGCCCGAACACTGGAGCGGGCCGTCGCGGCTCTAAATCAGTCGGAGTTATGTGCCGACTAATTGTGAACCTCAACCCTCCACTCCCCGTCCCCGGGCCCGACCAAATATAACTAAACGAAACGAAACTAAACGCCGGGCCCGATTAACGCGTCTCAACCGCACGATGCCTCGACAGCCCCTCTCTCTGTTCCCCGGACTAAATCATGGAGGCGCGAATGAACCTACACCTTCCTTTTCTCCTCTTTTCTTTCTTTTTTTTTTCCTTTCCCCTTTTTGCCGGCCCTCCGTCCCTCTCGGTCTCTCGGCGTCTCCGTCTTTCGGGAGCCGACGTGGTCGTCAGTAGATAAATAACGACGACTACAGCCGGGACCCGATTAATGTCGTCGGTCGGAGTCGCCGTACCGAGCGGAGGAGCTCCGAGCGATTTTAGTTGTGACGGGTTTTTTGAGTTATTGGAAGAAAAAGTTGTGCGGGGAGGGTGCGCGGGTGGTGTATTCGAGTATTTGACAAAGTTTCGGGACGAACGGGAGGTTTGCGACGACTTAGGCCGGATTAGCAATTTTTTAAACGTCCACCGGTATATAGCGGGTTCCGACTTTTTCTTGTAAGAGAAGTTTTCGGGCTGGATTAATGTCACCGGCAATTTTTAAGGTGGCTGGGCACCTTGACGAGGCGCTTCTTGTTCATGAGATATCGCGTCATTACATCGGTACGTTTCTCTTGGGTTGCTTCTGAGCGTCGCGCGTCGTTCTTCTTCGGAACGACGTGGTTTAATTTCCGTTTTTCTTTGCGAAGCTCCACGGAAATGTTGCCGTGTTACTTCGTCTCTATATTTCGCGTCTCTTGGATGTGGACGATCATGTAGAATAAGGAGAGGTTCGGACTCAACTTCGGCGTGAACCCGTCGACGTTGAATCCGAATCACGAGGTGTAACAGCTTCAGACAACGTTGCAATAGGGTTCGACGTGTTGCAGTTTGGGCACAGAGCGACATCCGAGACGGCAGCAACGGAGGCCTTGGGGGCCTGGACACTTCGGGACATGGGGCCCACACCCCCGGGAGCACCCCCAGCACCCCGGGGACCACCCCCTCGACGCCCTCCAGCGGCTTCCCCACCTCTCAGCCCAGGAATCGGACGAACGCCTCGCACAGGCAGGACATACAGAAAGGTATGAACCGTTGCTACTCCAAGCAAGGCTGCTTGCACCTGTGCCGGCAAAATAGCTACTTCTCACTAGTACGGTATTACCCTGGCCGGCGATCGGTTTGATTTTCAACAAAGGCAGAAATGCTAGGCGACGGATGAGCATCCCAGAAAGAGGTGTTATTCACTTAGGAGATCATAGATTTAAATACCGGAAAGCACGTGGAAATCAGCTCGAAATCACAAGCAGAAATCGCTGGAAATCGTTGGAAATCGCCGATACATTTTCAGTTTTAAAGCCGATCGTTGCTTGTAACCGAATCACGTTGCTATATATCATATGAAATCAAAGGTAATCGGTTCTCAAAGAAGGAAATCCTTTTCAGTGATTTCCGAGTGAATAACCCCTCGGCTATTCTTGCCGAAAATGGAATTAAAAATCCCTGTACTATTTTTTGGCTACACTGCGCTATGTTTTTGATGCCTTTCCCATAAACTTGCGTAGAAAAACTTACGCAACTTGATTGTAGATGTTAATACTCATGGGTGTCGTTCCGTAGACGAGGTGGCAGACTTCTACCGAATGTTCTATTCGATTGTGCGAATGTGTCCGAAGTCTTACGAAACAACCCAATAGTGCCTACGAAATTTAGTTCAAGATTATACCGAAGACGTAAGCTGCATATTTATGCAAAAATCAATTTTGTAAGCCAACTGATCGATGCGACGTCCTCTGAGAAATTGCAGATCATAGTCCAACGTGGCCGCTAACGTTGCACCTTCGTTCGGCACTCAGCCTTCGTTCAAGATCCCTGCAAATTGAAATATCCCCAGAGTCTTACGCCCTTGTTTAACAACAACTGGGACAGATCTCACTTCAGTCCGGTAATCCAGGGATGAGAGCGAGGTCTGCGAGCTTCTTAGGCAAGTCCGGCACGTGCTCGGCGCAAGAATGCTTACCAGCGGATTTCGGAGCCCGCGGTTACCTCGGAACGACTTTGGCAATGGGCCTCTGCCCCTGGGATGGAATTTCTGCCATTTCCTCGTTCACTCGCCAAAATCGTATTTCGCGACTTCCGACCAATTTCTCTCGCGTCGCTAAGTCCTGGTCGCGATCACCCCCGAGCAATCTTCTCAATGACCCGAGTAAAACATTCTTACTTAACCGTTTGAGTCCCAGGCAGCGCGATCGCGCTGTTCAGATTTTATGTCGAGACAATCCAGCACATTTCGAGCGTTGTGGACAACTGACGGTGCGTCACCGACTGTCAAAGTCGCGCGCTCAGATTCACTGACCCAAGTACATTACACAGCTCCTTCTTTTAACCTCTTAACTTACAATATCGTGTGAGAGACGTGGTAAATCAATCGGGCCAAACGTGAACAAACGTGTGAGAGACGTGGTATGTCAATCGGGCCAAATGTAAACAAAACGTATGAGAAGTTACGTTCAGCCAAACCGTGAAACGGGCCGATGTATGACCGACACTTTTGTTGTTTATGACACGCGCTATTGGAATGTAACGCTAGGGGTTAATGTAAATAATACATCTTACAATTCAAGAAACGCTATCGCGCCGAGTGGGATTCATCGACATAAAATAAACAAAGCGCTATCGCGCTGCTTGGGTCTTCTCGTACTCATTTAGAGAAAGCGCGGTTGCGCTGTTCGGGATTCTTCGACAATGTTTTTTCAATACCCCCTAGGACTCAAACGGTTAATATAAACCTCATGAACGCGTATGAAAATTCAAAGTATAAGACGAGACTTTAAGATTTATGTTAACAGTGATGAGCGGGGAGATGTTTCATGCCATTGTTTGAAAGGAAGGCACGGCTCACTGGCCCCCTTTACGCCCTTTACACCTCTGTAAAAATTGGAACTACTTTCAAAGGGGCGAAAACTTCGTAATCGGTAAAACAAGATATACGCGGGTACCGCGGCGTAATCTCAATCACCCACGCATAACAATTTTATTTGGTATTCGTAGTTTTCTTTCCCAACCTATTTGCGTAATATTTTTACGTCCGTTGAAAGTATAATCGACGAAAGTTTTACGTTCAGCCTGTAACATTTATAAAACGTTTGCGGCTCTAATTTATTCCATGTATGTTATTAATGGACACAGTGTGTACTCACTTATAAATGTTTAACGACAAATATTTAAACGACGTTCATGTTACATGATTATACCGGCAGTAATATCAACGTTGAAAACGATTATTCGATCACTTCGCGTTTATTGGGATGCGTGGAATCCTTTATTTCACTAAATATATACATTCCTAAAATCAGTTCGCGTATTTAAAAATCGCTCCATAGATCTCGTTGTCAGTGACAAACCAAAAACCAGATGACATGGGCTCTGTATGTTCTGATTTTCTTCTTTTCTTTCCTTAATGAGAGGTTAAGGTTATCTGTAGCATTCCAGGATGATAAAGTGTTTTGTACAAGAATTAGAGGTTTCTGTGTCGGGTCTAACATGGCATCGCTTTGTCCAGGTACATAAAACTCTAAGTACGTATGAGACCAAAGCCACGTGGAGTGTGTATATAAAGTTGCCATATAAAGTCGTCATATAAAGTCGCCATATAAAGTCGGAGACGACGGAAGGGGGGAAATTTTTCTAAAAGCTCCTTACGACGTATTTCGCTGCCCCGCTTATGTTAACCCGCGGATCTAGGTTTGTCAACTGATCGAGTCAACACTGTCATCGGCGGCGAGTGTCGATAGCGGCTCCCTTTGATCCAAGTCAATCAATCACGCGGCTGTCGGTCTTTCCCAGGGAACGGTGAACGAGTGTCCGAGGGAGGCCATCGGTACAGCACCCTCACTGTCACTTGATACTGTCTGATTCGCGTGCTGGACTACGTAAATGATCTCTTTATACAGATCGATCGAAAGATTGTCGATCAAACGATCCGCACAAGTCCTCGCTCCAAATCTTCTGGTTATAAAGACACTTCTTAGAGTCGGTAACCCCTTCTCTGTGGACGGAGATTCAATTGGTGCCGAGATTGAATAATTTGATTGCATGTCAACCCTACGGAACAATACCCATGCTTTTGTTATCTTAATGGGCCCCCATAAAAAATGATCTTGGCGATTCCCGACGCAAGAGAAGCCGCTTAAAAAAATAACAGATTTTCAAAGTCCTATTATATTTCATGAATTTAAGATTTTCAACTCCTAACTCCGGCGGCCCAAAGCAAGACCCGAATAGATCTTTCCAAATTTCTGGATATCTTGTCGCCTTTGGTTCATTCATACATTCGATAAGTAAAGTCTTAGTTGGGATAAGTGGAATGAGATAAATGAATTGACCAATACTGGGATAATCTATACTAAGAAATAAAAATGCCATTGAAATAAAGTACGTCAAGGGCTGAGATAAAAGTTGCGATTTGTCCTCCAGGGCGCGGGTCGTCGAATCGACTTGCTCCGCACCGTTTACGTCATGGACGTGATGTCTTGACACGTTTTAGGTGTTCGAACGTCCGCAGACGTAAAACACGACCTGGGAGGAGGCGGTGGAGTGGTATCATCGGGCGGAGGAGTGGTCGGAGTCAACGACGCCGACGATAAGGACGGGAAGAAGAATAAACGTCAGAGGCGGCAGAGGACGCACTTCACGTCGCAGCAGCTCCATGAGCTGGAAGCTACGTTCGCGAGGAATCGATACCCCGACATGTCGACCAGGGAAGAAATAGCGCTCTGGACGAACCTCACCGAGCCCCGAGTCAGGGTAAGTCGATCAGGGCCGATCGGTTTCAATCAACGTCGACCGATGCGAATGAACGCGAAGCCACCTATTCTCATTACCCCGCAAAGGAAATCTTAGGATCGGTGCTTATGTTTTATTTTTTATTCAGTAATAAAGACAGATGGTACGGAAAGATAGCAGAGGACCAAAGAGAAAATCAAAGTCCTTTACACCCTATGTGTGATTCGTGATTCGCGATGCACGGTCCGCTTTGTGCGAAAATAGAGTGCATGGACGATGCGCTCAAATTTCGCGATATTAGTATATAAATTTACGACGTTGAGATACATTTATGCTCAATATCGAAATCTGTTATACACTAATTTTCGATCACATCTATGAGAATTCATAAACTGAAATAAAAAAATGCATTGAACCAAAGAAACATTTCTTTGCGTAGTACCCAAAGAAATATTTTGTTAGTTCAATGAATAATTATTTAATTTAAATAAACCTCTAAATGCAGGCGTTACCCTGGTTTTGTGGTAATCTAAAGAAAGGTAACCCATATACAATTCAATTCCAATTGTGAACTTTAAAAATGGCGGACATTTCCATATTTCCCACCGGTAGGCGTAAAGTAGAATTTAATTTGTGTTAAATAGACTGTACAAAGTCGAAATGTGGATATAGAGACTGAAATAGGATCAAAAGAAGCTTTAGTTAAGATATGCCGGTTCAAAATGAGGCTAAAATTTTGTCCCAGGACGAGGTGCTTCGAAATGGATTGCGGCGTCAACTTGCAAATTTCCCGTCGCAGTCTTATTTTGACGAAATATATTCAAGTCGAATGTAGAATTGTACGTCGGGTGGTCTTGGAGTTTTTGGATGCTGGACGCATCTCTTCACAAGATGTTGGCCCTTCTTCATGGCCCCCGACGGCGTGGGCACTTCGAGGATTTGCCCGCTGCCGACATGGAGCTCGAACCTCTCGATCGTTGATACGTTTTCAGATCCAGACTGCCTAAGTGCTCCCGGCGTCGTTTACGTCGACGAGTCGGCGGAAAAGGAAGAGATCCGTCTCGAGAGGTCGAAACAACAGAAGCCTAATCCACGCGGCACCGACGGTTCGTTCGGGCGGAGCCAAAAGTTGACGCCAGGCCCAGAAAGAGTTCATCCAGTCGTACAATAAACGCTTTGACGCGTATCCATTACATGTGCAACGCCTTTTCGACCCTCCGGAGTAATCCAGTTACGCGGAAGTCGGCCATAATGTTAATCCAAAGATACCGTGGGGGGACCTGTGATGAGCCATTTTCCCCGAAGCCATGTGCATCGACCGATCTAATTGTTGTCCCAGAATAGAAGATTAACTTTTCGCGCAATTAGAACGAATTATTCCCGTTATTGGTTTCACTTGACTTGACTTACATGTCGTTCTTAGTCACTGTTAGGACCTTAGTATTCTTATCATCTCGCGATGGCATTATCGATTCGCGGTCAAGGGTTTTCCTTGCGCAGGGATCGGAACGGCCGCGCGAGACATGCTTCTCGATTTGAGAATCCGGAGGTCTCTCTTCTTTGTGGCGCCATTCCATGTTCAGGGGGCAACGCGCTAGATGTGTAGGGATGGCTCGGCCAGGTTCACGTGGGGTTGCGCATCCCGCAAGGGAGGCTTTGCGCCGGTAAGCCCCCATGGATTTATAGAACCGCACACAGCAACGCGACGCTATGTTTCCAACGGGCTGCTGGCATACGCCATGTACCAAAATGTTCCGAGTCCTGGCAGTGGTCCTTTCGCAAAATGGAATACCGGGCAGAATGTTCTTCTCTATAAACCCGAGTGAACCCTGGAGACCCCTTTCGTTGGCGGTCGACACCTCAGCCCCAGCTTTTGATGGGGATTGATAACGCTGGCTGAGAGTCCCGGTTCGACATTTCATGTCCGATGGTCAGGAGGTACGAATCACTAATAGACTACAGAGATGCTCGTGAACTTTAGATTGAAAAACTACCGACAGATAGTAGAGATGACCAACAGCGGCAATGATTCTTTCTCGTGGAACACCGACGAAAAGTTCATCGTCGTGAACGGCACTTGGCACGGATAACTCGTTTGGTTAACATATTGCATTTCATATGTCCAAATAATGTAATAGGTTCCAGATCGTGTATCGCTCCGAGCAGCTTGTTAGCCGAGCTTCTGACTCTTTCACGACTAGAGAATGACGTAGTCACGGATTGCGGAATCTCGCGTCAGATTCGCCGTTTAATTTCTCATAAACCTGAACCAGGATAGGTACCCTCATCGCGGTTCCGGGTGATATTTATCGAAACGAAGCGGCTTTTAAATTTCAGCGGTAATCCGCATGTTTAGACATCGCGGACAAGATATTTTCTAAGCTGAAGGTGGATAAATTATGCAACGTGCGAGGGATGAATCCCCTATTCAATTCCGAAGGAGATGCATCTGCTACTTGTCCAATGACCGGCATTTAGTACCCAGCTATTACTCCGAGTGGAGACCCGTGTCCACGAGTGTCACCCAGAGGCCGTTTTACCGAGGCCCCGAGAAGTTTGAGGAAGCGGAAAACGGACAGCATCCACGGGGCGGCAGAGGGCCGATGCAGTTATCTGCAAAGAGGCAGGCGTATGTTTCGGTTCGTGGCAGTAGCGCGGCTGTCCGAGATAATCCGCCGGTGATTAAGACCATAAATCCATCGGCGGATTAGTATGGTTGCACCGCACACCGCGCGGGGAACACGGGGGGGGTGCGGGCTCGTGGAATACCGCCGCCGCCACCACCGGCACCAACACCAGGGTCGACCCCAACATAGGCACCGGCACCGTCCACCACATCCTCACCGGCCACGGTTCACCCACCGTCAGTGACGGCGCCGCTACGTGTGCTCGGCCATCGCTGCTCCTCTGTACCTCGCCGTATGAGAATGGAAATGGGAACGGGGAACGGAGAACGGGAAACCGGGAATGTGGAATGGGACGCCATGGAATATAGGTGGGACACTAACCGGTATGAGAGTGAGGATTACCGGTGTCATCCGTATTCGGCGGGTTAGCGGCTGTCAGCGACCAATGGCATCGGTATATATCAATTATTACCGCTGCCGCGCGGCGCTACGTTGCCCTCCACCCGTGGGGCCCGCTTATCTGCGCTCACCTAGGCAAGCCCAACCGATTCGCATTATGGATGCACGCACTCCATCACGGTTACCGGCTTGTCGGCAGAGCGTTTCGGTTTCGCCCGTTGCCTTCGCTCGTTGCCTTTGCCGGCCATTGCTGGCTTCCGCTAGCTTCCATCACCTCCCAACGATGGGGTGCCCCGTTCCCTGCATTGTTCTGGGTTCTTTTCGCGTTTGGAACTGACTGGGTAGTTTTCGACTCTACCGCGATTTATCTCTCGATGATCTCTGATTCATTGGGGGGATCTCGCCGGATGGTGGGAAATGCGTTGCGAGGATTTGTGATGCTCAGATGAGAGTAGGTGGTGATCGGTGTACCTTCTGGTTGGCCTCGTTAGGTCTAGCTATTGATCTAAAGGGCGTAGAGGGACGTTGTTACTTATATTCGTAGTGGATGATGCATTCAATCGGATATACATCTGAACACGAACCCGTACGAGGCAAGGTGAGCCAGACGGAATGCCTCGTGCTCGGATGTGTACGCGGTAATGAACAAAATCGTTCGAGGAAATGAACTGACTTCTTGACGAATGACATTCGAACGGCCTTGAAAAGGGTGATGAATGATCCAAAGCAGTTTGCCGCACTTTGATTGTTTGACCATCCTCGCATGTTCGCTTTGCCTCATCCGCGTTCTGGATCAGATATGTATTCGGCTTTAAGTGTACGCTAGAAGAATTGGAAAATCGATGAATTTTGGATGTCAACGGACATTTTTGGTGGTCCACGGATGAGTCGGTGTTTTTGGATTAATTTGCGTGCACATTTTTGGCTCGTTATCTGTATAAAATACAGAAAGCAAGAAGGCGTTCTTGCTGATACTGTCTGATGGAAAAGTGCCGGGACACTATTTTCCAGGGCCTACCGTGACAAGATCTGAGAACCGTGATGGAAGAAAAATGCGAGCCTAGAATAACGAAAGAAAACACTGGTCTGTTTCTCCTGGAATGTAAGAAAAATTGGAATGGAGTCACAAAAATGCTGCGGAATATAGCGACGAAGAAGGAAACGAATGAAAGTAACTATATGGAGAATTGAAAAGCAGATACCGCCTAACCCGACGTTTTGCTACGACGCGATTCGAGCTAGATTGGGAGAAATGGCAAAGGGATTTTAGTGTAAAGGGAAGGATCAATTTGCGTGCAGGCGAATTCTCCTGAAAGTTTGCCGAAGCCCCTCGTTAAATAAGAGGACATCAACACTTCCATCGGCCTCGGCTCGTCGATGCGACGCGGTTCCATTTTGAATTTTAGCCCCGGGATTTTAGAAGCGCGCGCCTGTGACAGGGGACCAATAAAACGAAAGCGTGATTCACGACATCGGCCATCACTGTCGTTCCTTTTCACCCAGGCCCTCTAAACGAGTCCATAAAATTCCACCATCAATCCGTGGATGCCTCAGTTTTCGTCGAAACGCGAGGCCGAAGCCCCCGACGCGGTCCTGACTCGTAAAATCATCCGAATGATAATTGGAATCAGGTGTCGGATCAAGCATTTACAGCTCCATTGGCTGGACGGGCATAATTTTTAAAAGCGAATTCCAGCGGCCGCGGAGCTTCAATCGGCTCTTGTGCCTCGGCAGCGCCGATCGTCGAATCCGCCCTATTTATAAATCGCAAAGAGCAGCCCGTGGAGCCGAGCGAGGCGGCATTAAAAATCACGTGTTCCGCTTGAGCTCATAATCTCGTATAATCTTTTGCAAAGTTGTTAATACTCGCGGCTTACGGGTGTTAATTTAATATCCATACAGGTGCGCCAACATTGAATATCCGAATCCCACTGGCGGAGCCGGCGCGGTCCGCACTACCACCGCGATAAAAAGATCCATAAAACTGGTCCCTCT